TTACATAAAGGGAAAGAGCCCCTTTATGTGGATTTTTTTTTTTTTTGGAATTCAGGTAACATGGTTTTTTTTTTTTTCCCCCAAGGGGAGGGCACACCCAGCAGTGTTTACAGTCTACTTCTTGCTCTCTGCTCTGGGATTACTCCTGGCAGTGCTTGGGGTACCCTGTGATATCAGGGATCAATGCAAGTACTTTACCTTCTGTACTACTTCTTTGGCCCCAGTTACAATAATGTTGATGCTCATGTTTTATTTTTATCTATTTTGGTTTTGGGACCACACCTGACTTTTCTCTGAGCTTGGTCCTGCCCCTGTGCTCAGGGAACATTCCTGGCAGAGCTTGGGGACCATGTGGGGTGCAGAAATTGATCGTGGGTTGCCCTTCCCGCTGTACTATTTCTCAGGTCCATAATGAGCTTTTAAGAGCTCTTTACGCATCTTGGACATGAGCCCATTATCTGATGTTTGCTGTCTATGTTTCTCTCATTCATTCAGATATCTTCATTTTAACTGATCTTAGCCATTGCAGAAACTTTTTACTTTAGGGTAGTGACACTTGCCTTGCACATGACTGACCAAGGTTTGACCCTCTGCACCTCATATGGTCCTCCAAACCCTGCCAGGAGTAAAACCTGAGCACCACTGGGTATGGTCCCCATCCTTCAAAAAATTATTTTGATGTAGTTCCATATGTTTAGTTTTGTTTTCTTTTGCCAGTGGTGTCTAGTCATTAAAGACATCTTTCAAGTCTGTATCTTGGAGAGTTCAACATACGTTTTCACTAAATGGATTTTATGGATTCTCATCTATTCTTTTTTTAATATTATTAGTGAATCACTGTGGAATACAGTTACAAACTTATGAACTTTTTTTTTTTTTTGGTTTTTGGGTCACACCCGGCGATGCTCAGGGGTTACTCCTGGCTCATGCACTCAGGAATTGCTCCTGGCGGTGCTCGGGGGACCATATGGGGTGCTGGGAATCGAACCTGTGTCGGTCATGTTGGCTGCGTGCAAGGCAAACGCCCTACCCGCTGTGCTATCGGTCCAGCCCCACAAACTTATGAACTTTTATGTTTGCATTATTGTCATAAAATGATCATTTACCCATCCCTCCACCAGTGCCCATTCTCCCCCACAGTGTTCCCAGCATCCTTCCCACCACCCCACCCTTCCTCACCTCACCATTCCACCCTGCCTCAGTGGCAGGGCATTCCCTTTTATTCTCTCTCCTTTTGGGTGTTGTGGTTTGCAATAGAGGTATTGAGCGGCCATCGTGTTCAGTCTATAGTCTACTTTTGGCACACATCTTTCAACCCAAATGGGTCATCCCAACATCCTTTACTTGGTGTTCCCTTCTCTATCTGAGCTGCCTTTTCCCCAGCTTGTGAGGATTCTGGTCTATTCTTGAGACATTTAGTCCACGTTTTTTGTATAGTGTGAGACGCTGATCCAGTTTCTTTCTTTTATTTTTTGTTTTGGGCCCCACTCAGTGGTGCTTAGAGATCACTCCTGACAGTGCTTGGACTATATGCGGTGCTGGAGATCTACCTGGGATTCACTGTATGCGAGGTAAGCGTCTTAACCCCTGTGCTGTCTTTCTGGCCCCATTTTTTTTTTTTTTTTGCTTTTTGGGTCACACCCTGCGATGCTCAGGGGTTACTCCTGGCTCTGCACTCAGAAATTACTCCTGGTGGTGTTTGGTGAACCATATGGGATGCTGGGAATTGAACCCAGGTTGGCCGTGTGCAAGGCAAACACCCTACCCACTGTGCTATCACTCCAGCCCATTTTTTGGTTCATTTTTACACATAGAAATGTTTTAAGAGTATTTTTAATGGAATCCGTAGGGTCTTCTGTATATTTTATATATACAGAAGTGTATATAAATCACGCAAATAGTGACAATTGAACCCACTGAATTATTTCTCTGGCTTGACCATAAGACATTTTATCTTTCCTTTAGTTGATCTGCTGTATCACATTAATTGTTTGGTTTTTGTTTTTTGTATTGGGGCCACACCCAGCAGTATTACAGGGTTTTTCCTGTCTTTGCACTCAGGAATTACTCCTGGCAGTGCTGGTACCATTTGGGATGCCAGAGATCAAATCTGGGTTGTCCCTATGCGCGGCAAATGCCCTACCTGCTGTAGTACCTCTCCAGCCCCTATATCACATTGGTTTGTGTATATTGAACCATGCTAACTTCCCTGGTAAATCAAACTTGTTTGCTTTGTATGAACCTTTAGATATATTATTGGATTTGGTTCACTAAAATTTTGTTGAGGACCTTTCAATCAGTGTTCATCAAAGCAGTCTATTTTTTTTTTTAGTAATATCTTCATCTGATTTCACTAATAGGGTAATAATGGCTTCACAGAAACTGTTCCAAAGAAATTCTATTTTGGAAAAGTTATACTCAAGCATGGGTAGTAAATCTTGTAGGGTGCTGAAGAACTCTGTAATAAACCTGTCTGGACCTGGGTTTTTATTCTTAGGGGGACTTAAAATTACTGTTGGTCTTTAATCCCAAGTTTTTCCAATCCAGTTCTTCCAATTCCTTATTTAGGATCCTTTTTTCTTTCTTATATTGCCTGGTTGATCTGCCCAATGATGAGAGGCGTGTTAAAATTACCCACTACTATTGTGTTTGCCTCAATGTATCTCTTGCCATCTGTTGACAGTGGTTTTATAAGCTTGACTACCCCTTCATTTGGGGTTACATATGTTGATAATAGTACTTTTGGGAGGCTGGAGATAGTACAGGAGGGTAGGGTGTTTGCCTTGTGTGCGCCCAACTCTGGTTCAAATCTCGGCATCCGATATGGTCCCCTGAGCAGCACCAGGAGTGATACCTGAGCACAGAGCTAGGAATAAACCATGTGCTCTGCAGTGTGACCCTAAAATCAAACAAACAAAAAACCCAACCACTCCAATCGTCCATTTACCTTTTTTTTTCTTTTTTGGGTCACACCCAGCAATGCACAGGGGTTACTTCTGGCTGTGCATTCAGGCACTCAGGAATTACTCTTGCCGGTGCTTGGGGGAACCATATGGGATGCTGGGAATTGAACCCGGGTCAGCCGTGTCAAAACAAACACCCTACCTGCTGTGCTATGGCTCCAGTTCCCCTCCGTTTACTTTTTAAGGAGGCTATTCAGTTATCCCTGTTGAACTGGTTTAGATGAAACAAATGCTCTCAGCTTTTTTGTTTTTATTTATTTAATTTGCTTTTGGGATTATACCCAGCAATGCTCAGGGGTTACTCCTGAATCTGTGCTCATTAATTACTCCTGGTAGTGCTCGGGAGACCATATAGGATGCCAGGGATTGAACCTGGGTCAGGAATCACACCTGAGTCTGCTCATACAAGGCAAGATATGTCCTATCTGCCTATCTGCTATACTATTGCTCCAGCCCCAAGAGAGTCTTTTATTATCCCCTCAAATCCGAGTGATTATGTTACACAGGATTCTTGGTTGGTCATTTCTTTTCATTCAGTTTTTGAATTCATCAATTTTCTATTTATTAAAATTTTATCATTTCATTCCTACTTTGGACAAACTGGCAGGCTACCGAATGTAACCTACCCACATGGCAGAGTCTGGCAAACTCCCTGTGGCGTACCCAATATGCCAAATACCAGAAACAATGAAGGGTCTCATTCTCCTACCTCTGAAAGAGCCTTGAATGTGGCACTTTTTAAAAAAAATCTCCGGGTAGGCGAAGGAGACGTTACTGGGGCCTGCTCGAGGCAATCGACGAATAACAGGATGGTTGTGATTGTGAAAATTTTTGTGTACCTTATCTACAAGGTCATTGATTCGATTTTAAGCTTCTCTTCTGCTGCTGAATCCTGCTACTGCATTTTTCTATTCCTTTGCTTTTTGAGTTCTTTCATTTTGTTCCTTAGTCACTGAATTTATTGATTCTTTTTCAATGATTTCCTCTATTTAGACAGCTCTGGGACCAGAGAAATAGTACAGCTACAGTGGGGAACTTGTCTTGCACATAGCTGACCCAGATTTGATCCCTTGCATCCCATGTGCACTCCCACCCCCCATCCCCCCAGAAATCATTGAGCAAAGAGTCAGGAGTAATGCCTGAGCATAACTGGGTGTGGCCCCAAAACAAAAGGAATAAAACTAGATAGTTATGATATAAATGGATTTTCCTATCTCCTATCCTGAGAGTATCCTGCCCGCACAGCAGAGTCTGGCAAGCTCCCTGTGGTTATTTGATATGCCAAAACCCAGTAACAATGATGGGTCTCATTCCCCTGACCCTGAAAGAGCCTCCAATGTGGCACTTGCTAAAATCTCAGGGCTAGGACGAATGGAGACATTACTGGTGCCTGCTCAAGGAAATCGATGAACAATGGGATGACAGTGATACAGTGATGCATCCAATAACACTATTCAGCAAGGTGATCTTTGTAGCTACAAGTGATGTTTCCATTTGCCATTCACCAGTTTAGGCTTGACATCTCTGAATAGGAAGGATTCCTTGCTGTGAGGTCAGCTGTTGTGGCCCCAGCACAGCTGTTCCCAGCTGCTTTACCCACAGTATTGCCAGTCCCAGCCTCTGACTCAGAGGTGTCTTTGTGCTGTGTGTAAAATGACAAAAGATGACTAAAACTTTATTTTCGAGGTGCTCAGGGATAACTCCTGACTCTGTGCTCAGGGATCACTGCTGCCAGTGCTTGGGAAACCATCTGGGATGCTGGGAATTGAGCTGAGTAGGCCCTATGTAAGGCAGATGCTCTACTGAAGCAGATGCTCTACCGGATGTACTATCTCTCCAGTTCCATCTATAAGCTGGTTATAGCTTGCAACTATGGCTTATAACTCTGGCTGCAGAGTTCTGTGAGAATCTAGAAGTCATGCTGGCAGGGACCAGGATTGGTAAAGGCTCCAGTGCTTCCTCTCAAGTGCTGGACTGCAGGGCTTGGGAGGGCTCAAGGCCAGAAGTGGATCTCAGTATTTTCTCTTTACCCTGCAGCAAGGCCGAGGAGATGGAGAAGTTCCCAGTCCAGCTCCAAGACCTGGCCATTCACCAGCTGTTGAGAGATAAAACTTCTATCAGACAGACCCTGAATGAGCTTCCAATCACCTTCTTCCCGATTTTGTTGGATGAGGCCATCAAAGGGAAACACAAAAAGTACCTCAGGGCCTTGGTGCAAGTCTGGCCCTTTACCTGTCTCAGTCTAGGTTCTTTCAACTGGGGCAATCCTGAAAATCAAGATTGCCTCCGTGCTATACTAGAAGGCCTGGATACCCCACTGACACTTCATGCTGGTACCAGGTATGGAGACCTAGATACATGCAGACATCATAGAGGGGTGTTTGTGTGTGTGTGTGTGTGTGTGTGAGAGAGAGAGAGAGAGAGAGAGAGAGAGAGAGAAAGGGAGAGAGTGAGCATTGAACGGAATAAACACAATGAAGATCTACCACCAGTGACTGACTGCGCAGATGGAATGCATCAGATCAGTCATCTTTTTTTTTTTTTTTTTGGCTTTTTGAGTCACACCCGGTGATGTACAAGGGTTATTCCTGGCCTTGCACTGAGGAATTATTCCTGGCAGGGCCCAGGGGACCATATGGGATGCTGGAATCAAACCCCAGTCGGCCGTGTGCAAGGCAAATGCCCTATCTGCTGTGCTATCATTCCAGCCCCAGGTCAGGTTTCTTGGAAGCAGATATTGAGCCAGAGAAAGGCTCTGGGGAAGGAGGGAACAGCACAGGGCAGAGGAAGCAGTTGAGCAAACCTGTGGTCTCCACTAGGACTGACTTCCGCCTGATCCCACACAGGGCTTTGGAGTGGTTTGCACACCAGGCCGGAGGGTCAGACTCAGTATACTCCTCCCCAGGGCCACTAGTCATTGGTTACTTCCAGCATCACCTCTGCCCCAGGGGCCTGATCAGCTGAGGGTGATGCTCTGAGAAGGGGCAACCAGGATTCCTCCTCGGTAGATGACAGGGAACTGGTTGAGGAAGGCACCAGGCAGGATACAGCAAGCCCCGCTCCAAGGAAACTTGGTGAAGTCACCTAAGGACGGACTCGGGAACAATGGCTGAGCTGTGGTGTTTGAGGAGGAGTACATGAGCTGTTGATGTGGAAGCAGGTTATTTGAAAATTACAGAAGGGAAGAAGGGGGAGAGTTGCTGGGATGGAGCCAGTGTTGGCCTCATGTGGAGTTTCCCTCTCTTCCCGCAGGAGGCCAAAATTGAGGATAGTGGATTTCCGACCAGACTCTGAGCGAATTCTGGCCAATGATGGCTCTCAGGATGCAGCTGGATGCCTGGCATCATCAGCCACATGGAGGAACACCAAAGCCACCTTTACTGAGAGCAAACCCAGGCAGAGGCGCACACATTGGCTGCCCTGGGAGTGTGTGGATCTATATATGAACCTCTCTACATGCGATCAATATTCTCAGATCATCTTTTCTTCTATTCAGAGGAGGTTGAAGATTAGCTGCCGTCCTATGCGTCTGTTTGTTAGGAAATTGTGCATCAGGGATAAGTCGTGTGAGTGGCTTGAGAACGCCCTGATCTTCATGCAGCTGGAATTCATTGAGGAGCTGGAGCTAGATATTCCCCCAGGTTTCCACTCAGAGGGGATCAATGTTACAAGAAAAGTGAAAGAGATGACAAATTTACGGAGCATGTCCCTGTCTGTTCTCAGAATCCAAAGTCATGGCCAATGGGACCAGGTGTTATCTAGTTTATTTTCCTTCCTCTTCTACGCCAAGGGACTGAGCCACCTTCGGGCATTCCACTTGTCCACTTACTACATTTCAGGCCATGTGTACTACCTCTTCCGGTGAGCACAGGGAGAGCACTCCCTATTTGTTTTTTCCCTTAGAGGGAGGTGGTTTGAGCCATACCCAGCGTTGTTGAGCGTTTACTCCTGGCTTTGTGTTCAGGGGATCATATGGGTGTTGGGGATCAAACCCAGATTCAGCTGTTGTGGACTTTCCCTTTCTTTAATGGTGATCTTTAAGTCCGGAATGGAGGAAAAGGAAGAGAGGGGACAGTGGGGTCACATCCAGTACTCAGAAACCTTGGCCCCCTGATGAACGGTAACTTTTTGAGAGACAAGTTCCTTATCTGGAGAGACTTAGTTCACACTCAGAGTCATCAGGAAACTTCCATCAGCTCTGTTCTCCCTACATCCCTCATCTTTTTTGTGCCACATCCTGTGGTGCTCAGCACTTACTCTTAGCTCTGTGCTCAGGAATCACTCCTTGTGATGCTCACGGTTTACTCCCAGCTCTGTGCTCAGGGATCACTCTGGGCAGGAGACCATAATAGAGGTCCAGTCTTCGAAACCAGGTTAGACATGTGCGAGGCAAGCACTCTATCAACTGTGCCGACTCTCTGCCACTACACTATGTTGAAAAAAGTTTTTTTATAGTTCTTGGGCCATAGCCAGTGATGCTCAAGGCTTACTCTTGGCTCTGCATTCAGGAATCTGTCTGTCAGTGCGTGGAGGACCATATAGGATGCCAGGGATCAAACCTGGGTTGGATACTTCCAAGGCAAGCACCTTCATGTATCTCTGGCCCCCCATGTAAAGGTAAAGGTAAAGGCCCTCCCGTTGATCGTCGATTTGCTCGAGCAGGCCCAGTAACGTCTCCATTGGAGACTTTGTTGTTACTATGTCTGGCATATCGAATACTCTCGGTAGCTTGCCGGGCTCTTCAAGAGGGGCGGAGGAATCGAACTCGGGTCGGCCATGTTGGCCTCATGTAAAAATTTTGTTTATTTTTTGCGGGAGGGGGGGTCACATCCGGTGTTGCTCAGGGGTTACTTCTGCTTTGCATTCAGAAATTAGTCCTTGCGGTGCTCGGGGAACCATATGGGATGCTGGGAATTAAACCCGGGTCGGTTGTGTGCAAGGCAAATGCCCTACCCATTGTACTATCACTCCGGACCTCCCATGTAAAATTTTTTAGAAAGCAGTCTTTACTTATTACCTCACACAGTTTCTGAAAGATAGGAATCTGGGGGCAGCTTAACACTTTGGGTTGGAGTTTCATGAGATGGCCATCAAACTGTTCGCCGGATCCCTTTTAGAAATACCTTGGGCCACAGAGGTTGTTCAAAGGACTGAACTTGTATATAATATGTGAGAGGGGTGCGGTGAATCCCCAGGACCACATGGTCGCCTGACCATCACCTGATTGATCCCTTGAAGAACAGGTCAGGAATAGCCCTTATCCCCACTGGGTGTGGTCCCCAAAATAAGCCTCTCTACATCCCTGATGGACTTAAAGATTAACCAACAAATGTTCATCTTCCAGGTTTGAACACTGAGGTCATGAAGTGCTGGGTCAATAACCACTGCCCCACATATCACGGCTACTCTATCCTTGAGGGGTCTCAGGGCTGATCTCTTGTTGCTTCTAGAAGGTCCTCTCCTTGCCCGTTTCCCTGGAGTGACTGTCTCCATTTCTCCTCAGCTACCTGCCTGCTACCCTGGAGATCTTAGAGCTCCCCTTCTGCAACCTGGAACCCCAGGACATCTGCTGCCTGTCCCAGAGCCCGCAGGCCTGGAGTCTGAAAAAGCTCAATCTGAGGAACACTTGTCTTTCCCGTGTGGCTCCCAATGTGTTAAAGGCGCTGCTTCAGGCATCCATGGCTACCCTGCAGGAACTAGACCTTGGTGGCTGCAGGTTAGAGGATGTCACATTCATGGCATTGCTGCCCCTCTTAGGTCAGTGTGTCCTCCTCCAGGAGCTCAGCCTCTTCGACAGTGTCATCACCATGGCTACCCTGCGGAGCCTGCTCCAGTACCTGGCAGGGCTGTCCAAGCTGCAGCACGTGGTGCTACCTGTCCCTGTGGAGTGCTTTGAACACCACCCCATTCATGGACATACCCGGGACTTGCGACCACAGCTGCTCCAGAGCGTGAAAGCCATGGCCGAGGAGATGCTGTGTGTCCCGGGACGGAAGGACTTGCGTTTTACCTACTGTCTCTCTGAAGTCACTCTTTGGAACTTGACTTCTGAGTCTCGGATATATTTTCAGTCTTTGTTTCCTCATCCAGAACCCTAATAAGTCTGTAGCCTATATAATTTCTTTTCCTTTATTTTTTTTAAATTTTTCTTCCAGTTTTTGGGAGACACTCATTGAAGGTGCTCAGGGCTCGCTGCTGCCTAGGCTCAGAGGACCATATAGGATGCTAGGGATTGAACCCAAGTTGACCTAGCAAGGCAAGCACCCTATCCACTGTACATCTCTTCAGACCCAATATCTCCTTTTCTTTTATTATTGTTGGGCCACACCTGGTGGTTCTCAGAGCTTACTCCTGGCTCTACACTCAGGGATCTTTCCTGGTGGTACTGGGGGATCACAGAGGGCTCCATGGATTGAATCTGGGTTGACTGCATGAAATGCAAGTCCCTTACTCTCTGTACTACCCCTCTGGCCCCGTTGTTGTTTTTTTAATGAATAAGTTTGGGCTTTACTGGCAGTGCTCGGTGGCTATTCCTGTCTCTGCGCTCAAGTATCACTCCTGGTGGTGCTCTGAGATTACCTGCAGTTATAAAGTGTTGAGGATGCACATGGGCTGAACCACATTCAAGGCAAATGCCTTAATCTCTGTACTATCTATGCCCAAAAAAGCTAAAGGAGCTCTGAAGAGACAGTGCAGTGAGTAGGAAGTTTGCCTTGCATGCAGTTAACCCGGATTAGATTCACTGTACCCCATATTGTCCCCTGAGCACAGACAGGTGTGCCCCCCCCAAACAAAACAGAAAAGTAAGGAGTGGGGAGATGAGTGAAGGGCTTGGAGAAGCAGTTAATGACACATCAACTAAAGTTATGAATTTAGGCTGACAACTACCCTGCATTTTTCAGGGGATTCCTAGTTTCAGCACCGATAGTTATGCATTTGACTCCCCCTAACCACCACTTTTTTTGAGACACACCAAGCAGTGCTCAGGACTTACTCCTGGATGTTCACTCAGGTATTACTCCTGGCAGTGCTCAAGAGACCATATGGGATTAAACTTGGGTTGGCCACATGCACACAAAATGTCCTACCTACTGTACTATTTCTCTGGCCACAGATTAAACTTATGTACTCCAGGTCAAGGTCATTGAAGAATATTCACGTTTTACCTTTCCCAAGAGCTATTCAAAACTTATAAATGTCTCTCCTCATCTGTCTCTAAATTTAATTATTTTACTACTTGTCTTTTGATATTTTTTTCCATGAGAACTCCAGGAAGCGCGCAGCCGCATTTGCGGCCGTGCAACATCTTATTATCTTATTCTTACTTTGGACAACCTGGCAGGCTACCAAATGTAACCTGGCCCCATGACAGAGTCTGGAAAACTCCCCATGGTGTGCCCAGTATACCAAATACCAGTAACAATGATGGGTCTCATTCTCCTAACCCTGAAAGAGCCTTGAATATGGTACTTTTTAAAATTTCAAGGCTAGGGTGAAGGAGACGTTACCGGTACCTGCTCAAGGCAATTGACAAACAACAGGATGATCGCGATCATGATCCATAAGGGCAAACAGTGGACCTGGAAATTTGAAGGAGGTGATGTCTGATCTTCCTTTTCCTGCAAAGAGAAATACCTCACTCTAGGCTGTGGTCTGAGCTTCCCAAGTCATATGGGTGCTTAGGACCAGTTTCTACATGATGAAGATTGAGTGGACCTCAGGGTCACCCAGTGGGGTGGGTGGATACTGGCAGTGCAGGTACTCAGGGCAACTGTGACCCAGTTGGATCAAACAAGAAGATAATAGCACTGGCCAGGCAAATACCTTTCTTACACCCGGGTTTAGGGTTTCCTGTTCACAGAGAGACCAGTTCCACAAGTGAGAATGCAAAAGCAAAGGAACCTTTATTGCTAGTTCGAGCTAGGGGTCCAGTGTCATCCAATGCAGCGGAGTCTTGACAAGGACCCTGACCCTAGTTCCAGGGAACATTATATAGTATTTGGCACAGTTGTTGGTTACAGTTGGTGGTTTTCCCAAGAATTTTGACGAAGCAGTCACAAATCTGTAAGCTAAATGGTCATGCCCACCTGTTGTGCCCAGAGATATCCTACTTATCATGTGACTGGCTAGGGGTGTCTAGGGGATTTCTATCTTTGGCCAAGGAGAGTTTCAGGGAATTAGAAATCTATGCTTTAGGGGGAAAGAGGCATACTGCTTGTTTTGCTGAAGTGCAGCCTGTCATGGCGCACATGAGGTTCTTTCTCGGCCTCACACCTTCTTTGCTATGCATTTTTCCCATTAATATCATTTGCCAAACCCTCAAATACAGTAAAAAGGAATGAAATATTATATAAACAGAAGGGCGTTTGCCTTGCACGCAGCCAACATGGCCGACCCGAGTTCGATTCCTCCGCCTGGCAAGCTACCAAGAGTATCTCGCCCGCACGGCAGAGCCTGGCAAGCTCCCCGTGACGTATTCGATATGCCAAACACAGTAACAACAAAGTCTCCAATGGAGACGTTACTGGGCCCGCTTGAGCAAATCGATGATCATCGGGAGGGTCTTTACTTTACTAGGCTTGATCTTGGGCTAAACTTCAGAGCAAGAGCAACTGACTCTTGCTATGGGGAAAGTTTTGGGATATGTGGGGGTGCTTTTTTGGTCACACTGGTGATGCTCAGGGTTATTCCTGGCTCTGCACTCAGAAATCACTCCTGGCGGTTCTCGGGGGACCATATGGGATGCTGGGGACCAAACCTGGGTCGGCTGCATCTAAGACAAACACCTTACACACTGTACTACCACTCTGGTCCATGCCCTGGGGAATTTTTTCTTTTTGGGTCACACCCGAAGATAAACGGGTTATTCCTGGCTCTGCACTCAGGACTTACTCCTGGCAGTGCTCGAGGGACCATATGGGATGCTGGGAATCAAACTCAGGTTGGCCATGTGCAAGGCAAATGCCCTACTGTTTATATAATATTTTGTTCCTTTTTACTGTATTTTTTTTACTGTGCTATTGCTCCAGCCCCTGCCCTGGGGAATTTTGACTGACTTAAAAGGAAGAACTTCTTACTCCTCCAAGCCTGATAACTGAATCCTATTGTGCACCATTACCAAAGGCAGATAGGCAGCATGGGGGTAAATTCGTAAATTCTATCCCTAAGTGTGCCTGGTACTTATATTATTAGTCACATAGATGCAAAGGATACGGTGGGTCTAATATCTGGAAAGAGAAACCTTTTTGGGGGGTGGGCAGCACACCCAGCTGTGCTCAGGAATCATTTTTGGCAGGACTCAGGGCACATGGGAGAAAATCTAGGCCAGTTGCATGCGAGGAAAGCATCTTGTCCACTGTACTATCAAACCAGCCTCCTATTCTGATTAAATATGAATAAATTCTTTTTCCTTTCTCATTTACTTTATGGCTTAATTTTTTTAATCTCTTAGACTTCCTCACTTCTCTTTCTGTTCCTAACAAGTGCTCTAACACTGAACCGTATGCCTGATCCCTGCCCCAATTTGTTTTATTTTTCATTGTGTTTTTTTTCTTTTTGGGTCACACCTGGTGATGCCCAAGGGTTTCTCCTGACTCTGCACTCAGGAATTACCCTTGGCAGTGTTCAGGGGACCATATGGGACGCTGGGAATTGAACCCAGGATGGCAGTGTGCAAGGCAAACGCCCTACCCGCTGTGCTATTGCTCCAGCCCCTAGGTTGTTGTTATTACTTTTTGCCTCATTCACCGGTGCTTAGTACTAAGCTTGGGTGTTACTCTTGGTGATATTCAGAGGACCAAACAGTGCCAGAGATTGAAGTTGGTCTCCCACATACAAATCATGTGGTCAACAATTTAAATTCTCTTTCTGGCTCACGTTTGCATCTTCTAACCATATTTTAATTGAATTGTGACTTTTACAGGTTTGTAATAATTATATGTTCTAGACTCACATCCTTTAGATAGTTTACAAGGTTTCTTCTATTTGATTAATTATCTTACTTTCAAGAGAGCGTCTTTTGCAGGGGAGAATATTTCATAATGTTCAGCTTATAATTTTGTTTGTATTTTATTTTTGTGGGTATGCTTTGTAGCAGTGTTCGGGGCAACTCCCAGCAACACTTGTGAACCTTTTTCTTTTGTGGGGAGGCCACACCCGGCGATGCTTAGAATCACTTCTGGTGGTGCTCGGTTGACCATGTAAACTCGAACCTGTGTCATCCGTGTGCAAGCTAGTGTCCTACCCTCAGTATCCTCTTGCACCACCCCTTCAAAAGCCTACTCGTGCACTCTTCAAGACAAAACATTGTCTTCCTTCTTTATGGCCGAATTTAAAACTTGAAGTTTTAGAAAAGTAGATCTCTACAGCTCCTTTTCCAAAATTCTTGACTCCGGTCCTAGGGATTCTCCTGGATGAACCCACAAACAACCTTAAATCTGAGCGGATGCGGGGGGGGGGGGGGGGGGGCACTTCAAATCTGCGCGCAGCCTCGCCCCTCCCAGAAGTCTCCGCGCTCGGCGTGGGGCGGGGCCTCCCTGACTTCCGGACAGGGCTCGGCCTCGTGCGGTGGAGTTTCCTGAGCGGTTGCAGCACGTCCGTCCCGGCACGGGAGAGGCCGCAGTCCTCACACCGAAATTGGTGCCGCAAGCAGAGAGGCGGTGAGTGGGGTTGCGGGAGGCGCTGGCAGGTGGTAGCCCAAGCTTGGGCAGAGCGGGTGGGCTGCAGCCCAGACCTCGGGGTACTTAGGTCCTTAGAAGGAGGAAGGGGAGAGGCCGCGCTGCCTCGTGGCTCTAGGTTCACCTCAGCTTCCTCACTTCAGCGCTGCGTGAGGCTTCCGCTAAGTGACTCCCTAGGGGTAGGATTGCGGTGGAAACCGAAGAGAGTCCAGAGAGAGGGGACAGCAGGTAGGGCGGTTGCCCTGTACATCAGCCTACCCAGCATCCCATTTGGTCCCCCGAACCCCGCCGGAAATAAGCCCTGAGCAGCACCCGGCATGGCCCCAAAATCAAAAGAAAATCGAACAGAAACCAGATCAAGCCAAAGCGACAGGAAGGGATAGGAATTTTAAATTGGAAATTGCCTTGGAGAGCAGCTCAGG